CAGCAGATCACTCTGTCCTCCTTCATCACTGTGAGTGACACATGACCATTGAAAGTGGAAGACATGAAAAGCGTAGTTGGCTAGCTGTCTTTGATCAAATGTGCCTGCGTTCTATCTCCCCTGTTAGGTGGCCGTTGTAATACGCGTGAGCAATATTCAGTTTAGGCTTCGATCGAGTGCTAGGTAAGGAGGGGAAATCAATCGACGAGGCTGTGAGGCTTCATCGACTGAGATGGTTAAGACATGTGTAACGAGTGCATGCTTAGCCATCGATCGCCTTCCTCGACAATGGGCAATGTTAGCTGACATAGTGTCAGGCTGGAAAAGAGCTGTTAGTGGCGGTCACACCAAGACGTGACTTCATCAGTCAGTGAAATCCACAACAGTTAGTTTAAGCCAGCCACGTAGGAAGGTGTAGACTAGCTTCCTGGGTGGGGTCCTCGGAACGGTAAAAACCAATGCAGGCTGGAAACAATAAGTGAAATGGCTCAAAATCATCGTTCTTAATGCAGCAGATGCAACCACTCCTTGCGACTTATAATTTCCAATGAAACTATATTGTTCTTCCGCATTACCTTCCTTTTTGTCTCTATTATGCATTTCTTCTACTTTCTCCTCTTGCTTTGTGTGCTACAAGGAGGGAGTGTGGCGACCTGAACTCCAGCACATCCAAGCAAAGTTCTGTGTCGAAAACAGACAGACAGATACTTAAACATAACTAACTCAATAAAACTCTCTACTGACACTGTATCCGCATAGCAAAATACATTAGACTGATATCTCATGCAAACTACTATACTAAATAATCCTTTGAATAGCCGATTTGTAGACTTTCACATTCAGAAAACTTATTACAATCGTTATGACAGTTTTATGATTTCTTAGTGTTTGTCAACTTATTAACTCCTTGACCGCAGGTCAACCTAATTAGAAGACGACACTGTAGTTATATAGGACTTCAACATACCTAACGGTATGACGTCTGCTTCTATCCAAAACCATCTTTTGTGTCCACTTGTTTGGTTTATTAGTGTATTCAAGTGAACAATGGACAAAAAAGAGGTGAAGATACCAGATCAACAAAACAAAAACAACAACAAGTACCAATCACCATCAACAGGAGAAATTTGAAGAAGATGGACGAACCTCTCACTTATAGAGGGACAGCATCACCTCAACTATACGAGATAGCAAGTATCAGGAGGATTAAAAGGCATACCTTCATTACTTGGCAATCAATTCGGAAATCCACATCGCCTAGTATGGGGAACAAGATAAGGATTTTCAAAACAAAATATTCAGTCAGTGCCTCTACATAGTTCAGAGACCTAATACCAGAGTCACCTAAAACATTTCCAATTGGCTGCTACAGAATAACAACAACAGCTATCACCGGTAGAGATCCACGGTGAAGATCAAATGACCAGTTGGAAGCAATTAGCGACAAAGAACTCTAGTAAAGAAACAACCAAGAACCTGTCGTCCAACAGAATATGCAGAAGTAAATGGAAATAAGTGAGATACACACTGAGGAGACGCCATCAAGTGGATCCCGAATGAAGAACCATGAGATGGGCATCTAAGAATGGTATGGAGGAGGAAATGAAGGCTTATAAACTATCACTGAACTAGCTACAGACAGAAAAGCGAATTGGAGGTGTGCACTGCAAAACCCCTATGCTCCACTCGGAACCCACAAGCTTAAGATGTTTAACTGATCATTGATGCTTAGGTCATATTTCCAGATTTGACTTTGCCTATCTGAGAACGGAAAGAATGTAGAGTTGTTGATTAACAAGTTTTCAACCTGAAACAAGCGTCCTAGGTAAACTGACTCCCTTAATAATGCAAATGATTGGTTCCATGTGATACTGAGAACTACTGCAATCCATTGTGATGATGCAGATACGTGACCTCACCTAGCATAAAATCCAATGTATCATTGGATTTGAATACATTTAAGAAGATCAACTCCACGATTACATAAATCATGTTCACACATCCATGTAGAATGTAACACTTCTAGAGCAAAATCGAGGAGACGGAAGAGGTAAAATATAGTACCATGGAACTTCCGTTACATGTTTCGAAAAGGTTAGTTGGAAATATTCAGATAAATATAGAATAGGACTTAATCTATACACTTAAATTATAATGACACCACATGCCCTATACCAGTAAAGTAACAAGTTTGAACAATAAAGTGATAGGGTGAACACCTAAGTCAGACATTGAACTGAATTTCTAGCCTGGGACTTTGCATAAAAGTGCTACAGTTCAGGCGGCCACACCCCATACACACAGATAAAGGAAAAACTTCGAAGGAACCATAAAAAGACAGGAAATATGCGAGACAAAGAATAATGAAAATTGGAAGTATCTGGAAGTCGATAAAGGCTGAATGCACCATTGAGAACGATTTCAAGACATGTCACCAAAAGTCTACAGTAATAAGTAGATCACAGAGCCTCGAGGACCTCATCGAGGCTTTCCACCCTCTATAAACGGCTCAAACCGATAGTCAAAGTTTTCACTGATAGATCCTGAGTTTTTATTTGACTAATAATAATTCTCTCTCGACCTAATCTTTTATTTAACAAGTAAGAAGAATGATTGTAGGCATGTTCTAGCCACCTCAGTCGAATATACCGATAATATCTTCTTCCTTCAACAGATCCTGGGACAAAGACATACAAACCAGCATGTATATATTTCTTGACCTGAAGGTGGTTTCCAACTCTGTTGACTGAAAGATGCGGTGGTAATACCTGGCCAAGAAAGTAATCAAGTTGCTCCACTTGAACTCACTACCGTGTAACAGCCTATGGAAAGACATCACCTAAAGTGATGGTGATCAGTGGTGTCCGACAAGCATGCTCAATGTCTCCAATTTCATCCGACTTCATCATATATGTACTAACGAATGCTACCCTTGTCGATTTCAACATCTCATGGGTTGACTCGTTACCAGGAAACTATTTTGTCAATTTAGAGTAGGCAGATAATACAGACTTTCTAGGTGAATCCACTAGCGAAATGTAGACTCCTGAACACCAAGAGCTGAAAGCTTATTAATGAGGTAAGTAATTCGTCCATGTTAAATGTAAGGTGGGGTTGCAGAACTTATCTGTACCGAGGATTACTTCGTAAAGTAGTGAAATTATGAAAATGCATTGACCGCTTCACTTATTTGAGATCATGCATCAGCCCTGATTGCTGAGTGAATCTTAGTACAGATACAAAGCCTCGTGTAGCGCTACGCAGATTAAATCTGTGACGTTGGGATGAGCTCTGCAGCTGTCGATCAAAAAGCGGATGTTATGAGCAGCAACTCACTCTGTCGTTGAAAGTGGAAGACATTAAGAGGCAAGCTGTCTTTGACAGTGCTGAGGGGCAAAATATGGTGATACTTAGGAAGAGCATAGAGTTACACAAGGAAGAAAATCAATCGAACATGCTGTGACGACTGAATCACGCACTATGCACGTTATAGTCGTTGTCAAATTCACTGGCTGAAATGGGATAACATCGCAAATTGTTTTTTTGTTGTCATACTAAAACTTGACATTCATCAATCAAACCTCCAACTCCTACTATGAGCCCTTTACGGTAGAGTTATATCACAGACCAACATACTTACTTCTGCTTATGCCTAAAATTGTATCAAGCTACAAGGAGTTTTGCCCACCATGCTTCCATTTAACATGAGGGACAGGATGCTAACACTCATTTCGACTCTTAGGTCAGATAATGCTATCCGCTTACATAAAATCAAAGTTAGCATACATTGGGCACACTCAGCGATACCATGGTGAACCTCATAAACCAGAACTTCCAGACTTCATCTAATGCTACACAACTACGTGTAAATGAGTTAAAATTAAATGAGTGGCATTACAGCTGGGTTCCATGGAGTCAGCTTCAGCAACTTTGCAGCAATCCCATGAACTGAACCGTCAAGCCGGTCACCACTACTAGGCACACTGACTCCTCCCCCCTTAGCCAAACGAACGAAGAAAGATGCCTCCCAACTGAACTGCAAGTGGGAATCAAATGGACGGCAACTAAATCATGAGGCTTCATGTCAAACATGCATCACTATGTACTGCAAGTCTTCACTTAACGGACACAAAATCACTCGAATCCGATGACGATCTTGCATCTGACTATTAGCCATAGGATTTCTGATATGAACTAGGATTAAGTTAGCTATTTATGTCACTCAGAAGAGAAAAATCACTACAATTAGTTGAACAAGCCTGTAATCTCTTTACTACTCCCAAGCAATCATCTGCGAATGTCTGCACAGGAAAGGTGGGTGTCAAGAGTCGACTACTAAACTTTGCAAGCAACAAGTTAGCAAGGATTTTAACCCAATTCCAAGCCATTTCAACCACCTAGTACCTAAATTCGAGTTGGCGGGAGCCCACATAACCCCGGTGTATCTGAATAGGGTTATCCTACCATACGCCAACAATGTGTAGAAAAACTTGACAATGGCTAAAACCACCTCAAGCGTCAGAACACATCGAAATCCCCAAGGATTAATCACACAGTCCACCAGGGTATGTGTTGATCTAGCGTCCTAGGTCTTATACATCTACTAGATATTCGTTCGCAATAATGAATTTGGCCACAACGAACTGATGGACATCAAACCGTGTTACCAATACAGAGATACAACAGGCATTTAAACGCCGTGCAATACAAAGTACTACCACTGACTTACAAAACGTACGCTAAACATAAAACTGAATAACATCGCAAGTGATCAGTTAGATAACTAAATACCTCATCAAGCGACAGTAATTCCGATGATGTACTTTCTCTTAGCCATGAATTTTGCATCCATCTGTGGTATTTTGACACATGAGTAGCCAGATAAGGCACCAAGAATAGGCGAGTTGTTTCCACCACAGTTTCTTGATTCAACCGCATCCCTGTACAAAATATAATTCAACAGTAAACATCCCATTTTAAGTAAATCAAAAGAGTAGTCTGACTACCAAATTTATATTATGGTACACTTATTCAGCCTTTGTTGTTCGGGTGTATATCTGTTGAGAATTGTGTTTGCACACCATCTTGATCGAACCTAAACCAAGAATATGAATATAAAATAAGTAAACAAACCTCGTCGCCATAGTTCTTCGAGTGCATGACGAGCAAGAGAAGCCCGAATTTTCAACCGTTCTGAGACAACTGATGGTGTAATAACCTTGTACTGTGGGACTTCCTTCAAAAGCTTATCGAAGGTTGCCTTGTCAAACAGCACCATGTTGTTGAGTTTGTCTCTAACTTTTCCCTTGGACCATTTCTTCTTCTTAGCCTTTCCACCACCACCTTCTTTAGGTTTCATCGGCTTTTTAGATGGTTCCTTTTTACCACCTTTCGGTGCCTGTTTGGGAGGCTACAAAACATGAGACATGCGTTATACTCGCAACTTACCATGATGGAAGGCGTGCACTGGAAAAACTGGAAAAGACCGCCTGTAGAAACAGACGAAGCAGAAAGCGTACTTCAATGTCACAAAAACATGTGTTCGATATTCAATCCATCCATTTCTGAAAATAACTTGCATATCCCGTATTATGACTGTCAGGAAGGTAAGCTTACATGTTAGAACCTTTCTACCAATAATCTGAAACCATTCATCCTGCATAAGATATGTGTCAATAGAGCTTCTTTTGAGTCTTACTACTCTGCACTTTAGGCAAGCTAGGCGTGTGTGAGCCCATTCCATTAATTCCTTATTAATACCAAGCCAACAAAATAGACTAGTAATGAACTTCAATGCAGTTTGAATAGTTAGATGAGGTAAGTCATGCCACGTATTGAAGACGTTACAGCTACAACTTGCAGGCACAATGGGACTTGCAGAAAAATCACATAGAATAGTGTCTCTTCCCATGCCCAAATGTTTTTGGGTAAATTTCAGATTTGTTTTCGACAACCTATTTTGAAGCTCGGTATCTTCGTTCTGAAGGCGAGCAAGTCTCACAATGCCGATGACATCTGTTTGGACGGAGGGACCAATGCACGACAAGGCATCTGCCACAGTGTTGTTCACTCATGATACATGGCGAATATCCGGTGTAAACTGTGAATAGCAGTCCAGCTTTCGTGACTAGCTTGGTGAAAACCAATCTGAGGTTGAGTTCAGAGAGTGCATAAGGGGTTTGTGGTCAGTGAAGATTACGGATCCACGACCTTCACTGAGTGTCGGAAGTGGCATGTGGCACAATACGCAACCAGACGTTCTCTGTTGAGTATGCTTTACTTGGCTGCTGCTAGTTGTAAGGGACTTGAGAAAAAGGTAGGCGTTGCCACCTTTTGTTGACTAATTGCTACAGAACTGCGCCGATTACTGTATTAGTTGCATCAAATGGGATACTTAGTGGTGCCGCTGGATCCTAATACATATGAGTGGCATCCGCTATAGCTCTTTTTGACCTGAATGGAAGCGCTTTTATTGGATGCCTCAGGCTTGATAGACTTGTTTTCCCTACAGAAGATCTGTTAGCGGCTGAGTGAGGGAGGCACAGTTAGGAATAAAGCGGCGGTAATAACTTACGAATCCATTGAAAGTGCGAAGCTTTTTCACCGATTTTGGCTCTGCAAAGTTCAAAATGGCCTGAACTTTGCTGGCCAGTAGGCGGATGCCTTTCCAGCGAATGGTGTGGCGAAGGGAGAGACACTATTCTTTGTGATATTTCTGCAAGTCCCATCGTGCCTGCAAGTTGTAGCTGTAACGTCTTCAATACGTGGCATGACTTACCTCATCTAAGTATTCAAACTGCATTGAAGTTCATTACTAGTCTATTTTGTTGGCTTGGTATTAATAAGGAATTAATGGAATGGGCTCACACACGCCTAGCTTGCCTAAAGTGCAGAGTAGTAAGACTCAAAAGAAGCTCTATTGACACATATCTTATGCAGGATGAATGGTTTCAGATTATTGGTAGAAAGGTTCTAACATGTAAGCTTACCTTCCTGACAGTCATAATACGGGATATGCAAGTTATTTTCAGAAATGGATGGATTGAATATCGAACACATGTTTTTGTGACATTGAAGTACGCTTTCTGCTTCGTCTGTTTCTACAGGCGGTCTTTTCCAGTTTTTCCAGTGCACGCCTTCCATCATGGTAAGTTGCGAGTATAACGCATGTCTCATGTTTTGTAGCCTCCCAAACAGGCACCGAAAGGTGGTAAAAAGGAACCATCTAAAAAGCCGATGAAACCTAAAGAAGGTGGTGGTGGAAAGGCTAAGAAGAAGAAATGGTCCAAGGGAAAAGTTAGAGACAAACTCAACAACATGGTGCTGTTTGACAAGGCAACCTTCGATAAGCTTTTGAAGGAAGTCCCACAGTACAAGGTTATTACACCATCAGTTGTCTCAGAACGGTTGAAAATTCGGGCTTCTCTTGCTCGTCATGCACTCGAAGAACTATGGCGACGAGGTTTGTTTACTTATTTTATATTCATATTCTTGGTTTAGGTTCGATCAAGATGGTGTGCAAACACAATTCTCAACAGATATACACCCGAACAACAAAGGCTGAATAAGTGTACCATAATATAAATTTGGTAGTCAGACTACTCTTTTGATTTACTTAAGATGGGATGTTTACTGTTGAATTATATTTTGTACAGGGATGCGGTTGAATCAAGAAACTGTGGTGGAAACAACTCGCCTATTCTTGGTGCCTTATCTGGCTACTCATGTGACAAAATACCACAGATGGATGCAAAATTCATGGCTAAGAGAAAGTACATCATCGGAATTACTATCGCTTGATGAGGTATTTAGTTATCTAACTGATCACTTGCGATGTTATTCAATTTTATGTTTAGCGTACGTTTTGTAAGTCAGTGGTAGTACTTTGTATTGCACGGCGTTTAAATGCCTGTTGTACCTCTGTATTGGTAACACGGTTTGATGTCCGTCAGTTCGTTGTGGCCAAATTCATTATTGCGAACGAATATCTAGTAGTAGATGTATAAGACCTAGGATGCTAGATCAACACGCTATCGCGGTACTACATACCCTGGTGGACTGAGTGATTAATCCTTGGGGATTTCGATGTATTCTGACGCTTGAGGTGGTTTTAGTCATTGTCAAGTTTTTCTACACATTGTTGGCGTATGGTAGGATAACCCTATTCAGATACACCGGGGTTATGTGGGCTCCCGCTAACTCGACTTTAGGTACAAGGTGGTTGAAATAGCTTGGAATTGGGTTAAAATCCTTGCTAACTTGTTGCCTGCAAAGTTAAGTAGTCGACTCTCGACACCCACCTTTCATGTGCAGATGATTGCTTGGGAGTAGTAAAGAGGTTACAGGCTTGTTCAATTAATTGTAGTGATTTTTCTCTTCTGAATTATGAGTGACATAAATAGCAAACTTAATCCTAGTTCATATCAGAAATCCTATGGCTAATAGTCAGATGCAAGATCGTCATCGGATGCGAGTGATTTTGTTATTGGGTAGTGTCCGTTAAGTGAAGACTTGCAGTACATAGTGATGCATGTTTGACATGAAGCCTCATGATTTAGTTGCCGTTCATTTGATTCCCACTTGCAGTTCAGTTGGGAGGCATCTTCCTTCGTTCGTTTGGCTGAGGGGGGAGGAATCAGTGTGCCTGGTAGTGGTGACCGGCTTGACGGTTCAGTTCATGGGATTACTGCAAAGTTGCTGAAGCTGACTCCATGGAACCCAGCTGTAATGCCACTCATTTAATTTTAACGCATTTACACATAGTTGTGTAGCATTAGATGAAGTCTGGAAGTTCTGGTTTATGAGGTTCACCATGGTATCGCTGAGTGTGCCCAATGTATGCTAACTTTGATTTTATGTAAGCGGATAGCATTATCTGACCTAAGAGTCGAAATGAGTGTTAGCATTCTGTCCCTCATGTTAAATGGAAGTATGGTGGGCAAAACTCCTTGTAGCTTGATACAATTTTAGGCATAAGCAGAAGTAAGTATGTAGGTCTGTGATATAACTCTACCGCAAAGGGCTCATAGTAGGAGTTGGAGGTTTGATTGATGAATGTCAAGTTTTAGTATGACAACAAAAAAACAATTTGCGATGTTATCCCATTTCAGCCAGTGAATTTGACAACGACTATAACGTGCATAGTGCGTGATTCAGTCGTCACAGCATGGTCGATTGATTTTCTTCCTTGTGTAACTCTATGCTCTTCCTAAGTACCACTATATTTTGCCCCTCAGCACTGTCAAAGACAGCTTGCCTCTTTATGTCTTCCACTTTCAACGACGGAGTGAGTTGCTGCTCATAACATCCGCTTTTTGATCGACAGCTGCAAAGCTCTCATCCCAACGTCACAGATTTAATCTGCGTAGCGCTACACGAGGCTTTTGTATCTGTACTAAGATTCACTCAGCAATCAGGGCTGATGCATGATCTCAAATAAGTGAAGTGGTCAATACATTTTCATAATTTCACTCCTTTACGAAGTAATCCTCGGTACAGATAAGTTCTGCAACCCCACCTTACATTTAACATGGACGAATTACATACCTCATTACTAAGCTTTCAGCTCTTGGTGTTCAGGAGTCTACATTTCGCTAGTGGCTTCACCTAGAAAGTCTGTATTATCTGCCTACTCTAAATTGACAAAATAGTTTCCTGGTAACGAGTCAACCCATGAGATGTTGAAATCGACAAGGGTAGCATTCGTTAGTACGTATATGATGAAGTCGGATGAAATTGGAGACATTGAGCATGCTTGTCGGACACCACTGATCACCATCACTTTAGGTGATGTCTTTCCATAGGCTGTTACACGGTAGTGAGTTCAAGTCGAGCAACTTGATTACTTTCTTGGCCAGGTATTACCACCGCATCTTTCAGTCAACAGAGTCGGAAACCACCTTCAGGTCAAGAAATATATACATGCTGGTTTGTATGTCTTTATCACAGGATCTGTTGAAGGAAGAAGATATTATCGGTATATTCGACTGAGGTGGCTAGAACATGCCTACAACCATTCTTCTTACTTGTTAAATAAAAGATTAGGTCGAGAAAGAATTAATAGTGGTCAAATAAAAACTCAGGATCTATCAGTGAAAACTTTGACTATCGGTTTGAGCCGTTTATAGAGGGTGGAAAGCCTCGATGAGGTCCTCGAGGCTCTGTGATCTACTTATTACTGTAGACTTTTGGTGACATGTCTTGAAATCGTTCTCAATGGTGCATTCAGCCTCTATCGACTTCCAGTTTTCGTTATTCTTTGTCTCGCATATTTCCTGTGTTTTTATGGTTCCTTCGAGGTTTTTCCTCCATGTGTGTGTGTGGAGTGAGGCAACCTGAACTGTAGCACTTTTATGCAAAGTCCCAGGTTAGAAATTCAGTTCAATGTCTGACTTAGGTGTTCACCTTATCACTTTATTGTTCATACTTGTTACTTTACTGGTATAGGGCATGTGGTGTCATTATAATTTAAGTGTATAGATTAAGTCCTATTCTATATTTATCTGAATATTTCCAACTAACCTTTTCGAAACATGTAACGCAAGTTCCATGGTACTATATTTTACCTCTTCCGTCTTCTCGATTTTGCTCTAGAAGTGTTATATTCTACATGTATGTGTGAACATGATTTATCTAATCGTGGAGTTGATCTTCTTAAATGTATTCAAATCCAATGATACATTGAATTTTATGCTAGATAAGGTCACGTATCTGCATCATCACAATGGATTGTAGTAGTTCTCAGTATCACATGGAACCAATCATTTGCATTATTAATTGAGTCAGTTTACCTAGGATGGTTGTTTCAGGTTGAAAACTTGTTAATCACTAACAGTACATTCCTTCCGTTCTCAGTTAGGCAAGGTGACAAATCTGGAAATATGACCTAAGCATCAATGATCAGTTAAACATCTTAAGCTTGTGGGTTCCGAGTGGAGCATAGGGGTTTTGCAGTGTACACCTCCAATTCACTTTGCTGTCTGTAGCTAGTTCAGTGATAGTTTATAAGCTTCCATTTCCTCCTCCATACCATTCTTAGATGCCCATCTCATGGTTCTTCATTCGGGATCCACTTGATGGCGTCTCATCAGTGTGTATCTCACTCATTTCCATTTACTTCTGCATATTCTGTTGGACGACAGGTTCTTGGTTGTTTCGTTACTAGAGTTCTTTGTCGCTAATTGCTTCCAACTGGTCACTTGATCTTCACCGTGGATCTCTAGCGATGATAGCTGTTGTTGTTATTCTGTAGCAGCCAGTTGGAAATGTTTAAGGTGACTCAGGCATCAAGTCTCTGAACTATGTAGAGGCACTGACTGAATATTTTGTTTTGAGAATCCCTATCTTGTTCCCCATACTAGGCGAAGTGGATTTCCGAATTGATTGCAGAGTAATGAAGGTATGCCTTTTGATCTTCTTGATCCTTGCTATCTCGTATAGTTGAGGTGATGCTGCCCCTCTATAAGTGACAGGGTTGACCATCTTCTTCAAATTTTTCCCGTTGATGGTGATTGGTACTTGTTGTTGTTTTTGTTTTGTTGATCTGGTATCTTCATCTCTTTTTTGTCCATTGTTCACTTGAATACACTAATAAACCAAACAAGTGGACACAAAAGATGGTTTTGGATAGAAGCAGACGTCATACCGTTAGGTATGTTCAAGTCCTATATAACTACAGTGTCGTCTTCTAATTAGGTTGACCTGCAGTCAAGGAGTTAATGACAAACATAAGAAATCATAAAACTGTCATAACGATTATAATAAGTTTTCTGAGTGTGAAAGTCTACAAATCGGCTATTGAAAGGATTATTTAGTGTAGTAGTTTGCATGAGATATCAGTCTAATGTATTTTGCTATACGGATACAGTGTCAGTAGAGAGTTTTATTGAGTTAGTTATGTTTAAGTATCTGTCTGTCTGTTTTCGACAAAGAACTTTGTTTGGATGTGCTGGAGTTCAGGTCGCCACACTCCCTCCATGTAGCACACAAAGCAAGAGAAGAAAGTAGAAGAAATGCATAATAGAGACAGTAGACAGGGATATGAGACAAAAGGGATGGTAATAAGGAAGAACAAAATAGTTTAATTGGAAATTATAAGTCACAAGGAGTGGATGCATCTGCTCTAGCATTGAGAACGATTTTGAGCCATGTCACCAATTGTTTCCAGCCTGCATTGGTTTTTACCGTTCCGAGGACCCCAACCAGTCAGGAAGTCTACACCTTCCTCCGTGGCTGGCTTAAACTAACTGTTGTGGATTTCACTGACTGATGAAATCATGTCTTGGTGTGACCGCCACTAACAGCTCTTTTCCAGCCTGACCCTATGTCAGCTAACATTGCCCATTGTCGAGGAAGGCGATCGATGGCTAAGCATGCACTCGTTACACATGTCTTAACCATCTCAGTCGATGAAGCCTCACAGCCTCGTCGATTGATTTCCCCTCCTTACCTAGCACTCGATCGAAGCCTAAACTGAATATTGCTCACCCGTATTACAACGGCCACCTAACAGGGGAGATAGAACGCAGGCACCTATGATCAAAGACAGCTAGCCAACTACGCTTTTCATGTCTTCCACTTTCAATGGCCATGTCTCACTCACAGTGATGAAGGAGGACAGAGTGATCTGCTGCGCTGAGCCTTAGACACACCCTTTGGTCGATAGCCAGCTGAATATCACGTCTACACCAGAGGCGGTGTAAACTGGCATTTGCGAAACTAGCCCTCTGTATCCGTGCTGAGATTTCGTCAGCGATTAACCTGTTGGGACTGGCTGATTCAAATTCCCAAATAAGTGAAGTGGTCAACAAGCTCTACCATTTCACACCCTATTTCTAAACTAGGAGTCAGTGTAGTCCATTCCTGCAGACTCATCATCTTACATTTGGCGGGAGCGAATCGCATGCCAAACATTCGCAGATTGCAGCTCAAGGTTCTTTGAAGACTCTGCATTTTGTCAGCGTCTTCACTTAGAAGAACTATATCATCTGCATTTTCTAACAAGTCAATCCCTGAGTCTCTGAAGTGAGTTAGGCTTAGGTCCATTAGTAAGTACATCTATGATGAAATTGAATAGAAACGAGGAAAGTGGGCATCCCTGACAGATGTTTAAGTGTATCTATTATCAAGATTTCTTATCAGACAGAATGGTCATGAAGCATAGCGTCTGAGAAACTACCATTTAGTCTAGGTTACATAAGCATACACGTGATATTGGTTGCTAAATCAAGAAGTATAGACTTCTGAGTGCTGGTAGTATGAATACTAATCTGGAGGAAGTGAAGAGTAAACCGTTTAAGCTTAGCTTCACACGAGAAAACCAAGCAGGCTTTAGGCCAGGAAGAAGGTGTATTGATCATATGTTCACCCTCCGACAGATTCTAGAACATAGGCATTCCTACCGGCGTCCAACAATCAATATATTTCTTGACCTAAAGGCGGCATTCGATTTTGTCGACCGAGAGGTTCTCTGGCGAGGATTGGCTGTAAAGGGAATGCCGAGAAAATACATTGCACTGATAAAGGCACTCCATTCGAACTCATGCAGCCAGCCAGGTGAGGGCTTACGGCGAGTTGTCATCTGAAGTGGTGACAACTAGTGGTGTCCGTCAAGGGTGCCCATTATCCCCATTTCTATTCAACTTCATCATAGATGTACTAATGAACTTAACCCTAACTCATTTCAGCGACTCAGGATTTGACTTGCTACCATTAAGGAATAATCTCGTTGACTTAGAATATGCATGCGGTTGGTATAGTCCTTCTAGGTGAAGACGCTGACAAAATGCAGAGTCTTCTGAACACTTTGAGCTGCAATCTAAGAATGTTTGGCATGCGATTAGTCCCTGTAAAATGTAAGACAATGTTGCAGGATTGGACTACACCGACCCCTAGATTAGAAATAGGAAGTGAAGTGGTAGAGCACGTTGACCGCTTCACTTACTTGGGAAGTACCATCAGCCCCAACGGGTTGATCTCTAACGAAATCTCAGCACGGATACAGAGGGTAGTTTCGCATATGCCAGTTTACGCCGTCTCTGGCGTAGATGTGATATCCGACTATAGATCAAAGGGCGTGTGTACTGCTCATCGGTCCGCTCCGTCCCCTTTTATGGCTGTGAGACCTGGCCATTGAGAGTGGAAGATATGAAAAGATTAGCTGTCTTTGATAATAGGTACCTGCGTTCTATCTCCCGTGTTGGGTGGTCAGTGTAATAGGGTGAGCAATATTGAGGTTAAGCTTCGATCGAGTGTTAGGTAAGGAGGGGAAATCAATCGACGAGGCTGTGAGGCTTCATCGACTGAGATGGTTAGGACATGTGTAACGAGCGCATGTCTAGCCATCGATCGCCTTCCTCGACAATGGGCAATGTTAGCTGACATTGGGTCAGGCTGGAAACGAGCTGTCAGTAGCGGTCACACCAAGACATGATTTCATCAGTCAGTGAAATCCACAACAGTTAGTTTAAACCAGCCACGTAGGAAGGTGTAGACTTCCTGACTGGTTGGGGTCCTCGGAACGGTAAAAACCAATGGTTGGAAACAATTGGTGACATGGCTGAATATCCTCGTTCTCAATGGCTAACGCAGATGCATCCACTCCTTGTGACTTATGATTTCCAATGAAACTGTTTTGTTCTTCGTTATTACTATTCCTTTGTCTCACACCTCTGTTTACTGTCTATATTATGCATTTCTCCTACTTTCTTCTCTTGCTTTGTGTGCTACAAGGAGGGAGTGTGGCGACTTGAAGTGCTGCACATACAAGCAAAGTTTTATGTCGAAGACAATTAGACAGACAGCTTCTGAAGCTACATCAGTTGACTTTCCCACCTTAACTAACACTCTACGCATAAGTGTCAACATAACTCACTATATTATACGGGAGATAGAAGGCGAACATCTGTGGTTAGGTTTGAATCGCTCTTAGAAATACGAAATTACTATAGATATTTACATTTTTGTTAAAGTGTTTATCAGAGTGTAAGTAAATGGATGCAAGGAGTGTAAAGTGTGTCCTTTAACACTAACAGAAGTTTGAGTCTGCCAGTTACTTCGCTTTCTAAATCATTTTGTAGCCTCTGTTACTACTTGCAAACTGTACACATTAAAATTTTTATTTTCTATCTCTATACACTATTGTCAAATGTCGTAGTACACTAACTGGGTTCCTTCTAACGTCTAATTTAAAAAAAATTTTATACCTCTATAACCTTGCTAAGGATTCATGTATTATTATTTATTATTATTGTTCCCTTGGGTTCCTAGTGGAACATAGGGCTTCAACTGCACGTCTCCACTTGCTTCTGTCTTCTGCTGTACTTTTCACCTGCATCCATGTTAGTCCATACTGTTTCAACTCTTCTTCACACGATCTCCTCCATGTCACCCTTGGACGTCCCACTCGCCGCTTCCCTTTCGGGTTCCACTCGAGCTATGGCCTGACGCGCGATGTCACCCAGCGGCCTCCTCAGCGAGTGTCCAATCCATCTCCACTTTCTCCTGCATATTTGTTGAGCGATTGGTTCTTGTTTTGTTTGTTCCCATAGTTTCTTGTTGGTGATTGTTTCCGGCCATCTGATGTTGAGTATAGAACGAAGACTGTTGTTGATAAAGGTGTGCAACAGGCTGTTGGAAATATTCTTTGTGACCCGCCAAGTTTCTGATCCGTATAGAAGAACTGACTTGACGTTTGTATTGAAAATCTGAATTTTGTTGTTGATGCTGAGCGGAAGATTTCCAGATTGGTTTCAGGTTGATGAATGTGTTTCTCGCCTTCCCGATTCTCGCTCGATTTGACATCTTCGTCCGCTCCTCCTGTAGTTGAGACAATGCTCCCTAGATAAGTGAATGAAGTCACCTCTTTCAAATCCCTCCCGTTGATGGTGATTGGCGCTGGATGTTGCCGCTCAAAATTGTTGAAACTCAGCCAGTCAGTCAGTCAGACATATACAATCGCGTTTGAAGTGATTTTTTCACCAATTTCTTTTCTCTGTTTTAAATCGGGGTTTTATTTTGTCTTGTTGAAAAACAATTAGGAATTTGAAGCACAAAAACAATGGTGTAACTCTGATGATCGGTTAACATTTATTCTACTTAGTAAACAACTTCTGGAAGAATTTTGGTTATCAAGAAGTAGCAAAATCGGGGAATCAGAAAAGTCACACCAGCTGAGTCTTTATGAATTTGTAGATGATGAAAATCCTGAAGTGTATGCAATGATTGGAGATGTCAATCTTTTTCTTACCCCTGGCACTGGTGATGATGATTTTGAAGGTAAGCGCTGCGTGTTTGCTTGTGTGTAATATGCGTGTAACTTTCTTCACTACTCCCATGTTACAAGTGTTGCTCTGTCAGCGCCTTTTTTGTATTCTGAAGTTTGTTGAGGTTTGTTGAAATTCTATCGAGTTCAGGTTAGATTTGATGTTCATTTGCAACTGACTACAGAATGGAGTGCTCGGAGTTCTAGTGGAAGGTTGTGACCATTCGGTCGGTCGGTCGGTTTTCGACATAGAACTTTGCACATATGTGCGCCAGTTCAAGTCGCCACACTCCCTCCTTGTAGCACACAAAGCAAGAGAAGAAAGTAGGAGAAATGCATAATATAGACAGTAAACAGAGGTGTGAGACAAAGGTATAGTAATAGCAAAGAACAAAAACAGTTTCATTGGAAATCATAAGTCACAAGGAGTGGATCCATCTGCGCCACTGAGAACGATTTTGAGCCATGTCACCAATTGTTTCCAACCATTGGTTTTTACCGTCCAGGAAGTCTACACCTTCCTACGTGGCTTAGACTAACTGTTGTAGATTTCATTGACTGGTGCCATGTTTTCGTTTGACCGCCGCTAGCTCTTTTCCAGCCTGACCCTATGTCAGCTAACATTGCCCATTGTCGAGGAAGGTGATGACTAGGCATACGTAACACATGTCCTAACCATCTCAGTCGATGTAATTTCACAGTCTCGTCGATTGATTTCCCCTCCTTACCTAGCACTCGATCGAAGCCTAACCTCAATATTGCTCACCCTATTACACTCACCCCACACGGGAGATAGAACGCAGATACCTATTATCAAAGACAGCTAATCTTTTCATATCTTCCACTCTCAATGGCCAGGTCTCACAGCCATAAAAGGGGACGGAGCGGACTGATGAGCAGTACACACGCCCTTTGATCGATAGTCGGATATCACATCTACGCCAGAGACGGCGTAAACTGGCATATGCGAAACTAGCCCTCTGTATCCGTGCTGAGATTTCGTTAGAGATCAACCCGTTGGGGCTGATGGTACTTCCCAAGTAAGTGAAGCGGTCAACGTGCTCTACCACTTCACTTCCTATTTCTAATCTAGGGGTCGGTGTAGTCCAATCCTGACCATTAGGGTCTACCAAGTTGGATGTCAGGATAGATAGATACTCGCTTGATAACATTGGCTAATTGTGGCGCTACATATTAGGAATTACCAGAAATTAGAATTTATGCGACAGTTAATTTCATCCTCGTGATTGAATGGTCAACAGGTTGAACTCATAACGTGAAAGTTCTGTGTTCCATACCTCCCCCCTCCGATGGGGTGAGTTATAGGTGCACACTGCTGACCAGTTCCAATGTCTGTTAGTTAGTGACAAAATCCACATATCTTTATTGTTGCTGACAAAAGTAAATTTCACACTTATCTCCAGATTCACTGCAACACAGTGATAAGAAACACCTCAAGAAATAAGAACAACAATAATCTTCATAGCATCAGGAAGGCTTCGTGTGCTTTTGGAAGTTTGTGGGCGGTTGTTACTTCCCGACTGCCCACACCGTGGAAGTTGGTTGATTCATCGGGTACCTGAAACAGAAAGAGAGTTAGTGTTGCGTGATCGCAGAGCCCAGGGGACAACTGCTTGATGCTGGTAGGTCATCCCTGGCCTAGCTGATGAATTGGTCTTTTGGATTTGTTCCGGCTTAGTAAATTTAATGACGTTTACGGACCACCGTAGGGTAAGTGAGGATGTACAATTGTTGGGGTCGACCTTTTCTAACCCCCTTTCTCCAGAGTGGAGAGACAGCATAGCTGGCTGGCATGTTGGTCATCTGAGGGAAACAGCTTACTTCTCTTTCATCCTTGTTCCCCAGAAGTATGACTTCGCTCACAGACCCCAGCATAGTGTAAAAACAAAATTCTTACACAAGTGCCGGTAACTGCTTTTAGTCTCATGGCTATCCTAACAACCTTCCTGGCATGGTGGGACCTGCAGGAACAATAGTTCCAGCCAGTGTAGAAAGTGTTGCCCCTTTTTATAACTGTCAAGTGTGTGGTAAGCAATATTAAACGTAGAATTTAGCATTAATGCAGAGTGGTTCAACTTCATACATCTTCCATCTGTACACGAATATGAAATTAAAACAGGCTGAATAGTCGATAAGCTCAACGTTTAACCAAAGTATCTTAGGTTTGATCCCTGATGTGGTCATGGGTGCTTACTCCTGAAGAGTCCTATGTCAGGACGAAACAGATGTCTAGTAGTACTCCCTGGTTTTCAGAATCTGAAGCGATATCAGCTCTATAAGGAAGAAGCGAAGAAATGGGGATTTACTCTTGAGACATAAGTGGGGAAAAAGAAGGGAAAGACTATGCTGCGGAAAATACTTTTTTGTGTGCCGACAAAGTCAATATTTAAAGGCTGTTTACCATCGTACTGTTGGTGAATAAAACTGGTCAGAGAATGTGTAGAAATTATTTTTCAAATGGGTTTGTAAAAATTATCTGTTGTGGGACTATCAATGAAGTTAATCGCCAGCTTGATTCTCGAGGATTTGGTGTTTCAGGATACAGAGCTTCACATACCTCCTCCTTTTTATCAAGTCTACTAAACAAGACCGACAATTGGCCATGAAGTAGGCACCGGCAGTTCATCAATCCAAACTCGAACTCTATGTACGCAAAGAGTTTTTTTATTCCAATCTTTCATTTCTACTAGTTAGATTGTACTTTTTGCAAATAGTTTAATATTCTCATCCTTGTGAGTTGGAGGTTTAGTGATTGAATATTTTCCAATCACACACGTGGTCCGCATTCGATTCCCAGTTGATACGCGCCTGAATCTCGCTCAATCAGTGGTAAGCCAGTAAAATAACCGTAATGGCAGAGGAGAATAAGTAAAGGACTTTTTTATTAGTGAAAAGCGCACCTTATTTATACATTTTTAACCACATTAAAAGCTGGTTAGGTAAATGAACAACAAACTGTTTTGATTGGTTAATGATTGGACCAAGGTTGAAAAAAGGCACCAAAAGTTGTCCAATGAGATTATTTCTAAATCGCAACGTAAACGAAATGAAGATTTTGAGGAATAAATACTGCTACCCCTTCAGCTATTGACTTCAAATGTTGATTTCAGTTTTAGGTCACTTTCAATCAATCTGTGTCTATATAGCACACACTATTAGACATTACCGCATCGTCATCGAGCAAATCATAGAATGGTAGTCAAACATGCTCCTTAACTTCATTCACTTCGACAGACAGCGTTGACCGAGAAGTGCTTTGGAAACTGCTTCAATGCACTATGGAATGCAGTGCCCAAGTCTTTATCAAAGTCGGTCAACAGCTGGCTGTATGACAATACCACGTGTCAAGTGATCCACAACAGAAAACTCAGCGAGGCGTTCAAAGTGAATACAGGAGTAAGAAAAGGCTGGTTGCCTATTATTACCGATGTTATTCTTAATTGTGGGGGATTGGATTATGCGTCAAAATGTGCGTCGGGAGCGAGGAGACATGAATACTCTGGACGACCGGTAAGAAGACTTTAGAAGATTGGGATTTTGCAGATGATATTTGTCTAATGTCACACAAACTCGAAGACACACATGCAGGCGAAAACCAACAGGCTGATAGAGGAAGCAGCGAAGATAGGTGAGCATGAAGAGGACAGATTATGAATATAACCAACCAACCAACAGCATCAACAACCAGCACGAATCACCATCAACGGGAGAGGTTTGTCAGAGGTTACCTCCTTCACTTATCCGACAAGGAAGCATGGTTTTGACAACAGGTAGTCGTAACGGATGAAGATGTCAAAGCCAGCCAGAATCTGAAAGGCGAGATACACCTTCATCGACCTGAAATCAGTTTGGAAGCCTTCTTCACTCAGCCTCAGTGTAAAGAACAAGATTCTGCCTTTCAACAAAAATGTGAAGTTAGTCAGTTAGTCAGTCAGTTCTTCTGCATTGGTCAGAAACTTGGCCAGTGTGTCACAAAAAGGATTTCCAACCAGCTACAGACATTGACCAACAGCTACCTTCACCGGTTCCATACTGAAGATCAAATCGTCAGTCAGAAAGAATTAACAAGAAGAAACTCTGACTGGGAACAAACCAGCCAACCAAGAGCCGATTGGTCAACAAATATGCATCAGAGAATGGAGATGGATCAGACATACATTGAGGAGACCTTGGAATAACATCGCGCGCCAGGCGATAAATTGAGTGGAATCCGGATGGGAAGCGACTAGTGGATCGTCGGTGTAAGGGTGATATGAAGGAGATGGTGTGGCGAGGAGGAGGAGGAGATGAGAGATTATGGGCAATCGTGTGGTTATCCAGCTGAAGAGGTTGGCAGAAGATAGAAGGAACTAATGTTGTTATTTGGTATTAGATGGTTGGAACTAATCGGCGGGGAAGCCCACTCTGACCTAGGTTTCGTGTTAGTCGGTTACACTCATCAGTCAGCAAGGCGTATCTGCAATCACCTTCAAGGAATCCATGTCTCTCCTTCGGAGATTCGAACCCGCGTCATGCAGTGCCCTTCTGAAGTCAGAGACGTTAATACTAAGCTATTCAGCATCGCGATTAACCTCTTGTAGCACTATACTGGATACTTTGATTGGTCACTAGTTAGTAAGTAACTAGAGTAATGTGTCTGGTCCTTTGTTTGGTGCAAACTGAATTCTATCAGTTGTTATTTGATAAAGGGTGAGCAACATTGGGGCCCAGCATGTGTATTTCCTTCTTTTTCTGACTCTTCAACTGGATGTACCTGCTATGTCCAGTGAGTGATGGTATTTTGATTGTGACTGGGATTAGGGACTGAAGACACATCTAGTAGAGGTGTTCTAAATTGGATGAAATGGGTATCCTGGATTCCACCGCTAATCATTACCATCCACTAAATAACATCAATGTTAATTCTCGGGAATCCTTGAGACTTCTGTACTGGGAACCGTCATGTATCAACAGAAGCCGGATATTTCGGTTCAATAAATCAATGGGAAGTAGAAGGTTAACTAAAACAAGACAACAAATGTTTGTTAATAAAGCAGAAAGCTGAATACTCTCTACATTCAGCGATATATATATATATATCATTCCATCATTTTCCTTTAGGTTTCTCCCGTTGATGGTAACTGCTGCTTGTTGTTGTTGATCGGGGCTGAGTGTCTTTTCTCTGGTTGCTCCAGGACTGGAATAGATTGACTCCTAGTTTAGAAATAGGGAGTGAAGTGGTAGAGCGTGTTGACCACTTCACTTATTTGGGGAGTTCCATCAGTCAACGCCAGCGGGTTGATTACTGACGAAATCTCTGCACGGATACAGAAGGCTCGTTACACATATGCCAGTTTACACAGACTCTGGCTTAGCAGATATGATATCCAGCTGGCTATCGACCAAAGGGTGTGTGTACTGCTCAGAGCAGCAGAACACTCTGTCTTCCTTCATCAATGTGAGTGGGATCTGGCCATTGAAAGTGGAAGACATGAAAAGCCTGGTTGACTAGCTGTCTTTGATCATAGGTGCCTGCGTTCTATCTCCCGTGTTAGGTGGTCGGTGTAATACGATGAGCAATATTGAGGTTAGGCTTCGATCGAGTGTTAGGTAAGGGGGAGGGGAAATCAATCGAAGAGGTTGTGGAGCAGTTGCATCGATTGAGTGAGATGGTTAGGACATGTGTTACGCATGCATGTCTAGCCATCGATCGCCTTCCTCGACAATGGGCAATGTTAGCTGACTGATATGGGGTTGATCAGGTTGGAAAAGAGCTGTTAGTGGTGGTCAAACAAAAACATGACTTCATCAGTCAATGAAATCCACAACAGTTAGTTTAAGTCAGCTACACAGGGAGGTGTAGACTGGTTGTCTGGTTGGGTTCGTAGAGATGACAAAAAACAATGACAGCTAGAGACAATTGGTGATATGGCTCAAAATCCTTGTTCCTAATGGCTAGCGCAGATGCATTCTTTGTGATTTATAATATCCAATAAAACTCTGTTGTTCCTCGTATTACTCTTCTTTTTGCCACACACTTCTGTTTATTATCTCTCTTTTCTTGCGTTGTGTGCTACAAGGAGGGAGTGTGACAAGTTGAACTGGTGCACATCTGTACAAATTTCTACGTTAAAACCAGTCAGTCAGTTATTGAAAAACCTGGGAGTACTGGACAGCTTTTTCGTCCTAGTTCAGTACTCTTCATCAGTACACACCCACTGGGGTTTGAACTCAGGATCTTCCAGTTACAAGGCAAATTCTTAAACTATTCAGTCTTTGGGAACCTATTCAATGGCTCGTGAATTCCAAATTCTGTCAGTTAATAACCACGATATATTAAAAATGACTATTATTTCCTACAGTACACAGACTCGAGTTTAGCACAAGCTTTCCATGCGATCGCAGGTATCTTTTTATTTGTTTGCCTTCTACCAACAGTGAATGACTTGACGGTGCCAATAACTCCCCTAACACGCGTGTCCTAACCATTTGAATAGATACAGCTTCTCAACTTCATCGATCGACTTTCTTTCTTTGCCTAAAAATCCAAGCCTAACCTCATTATTACTCACAATATTATATCACTTAACGTTGGGAGATAGAAGATAAACATCTATGGTCGAAACAATAAACCACTTCAGATCTTCCACTTTTGATTGGTTAGCTCTCACAACCATAAATAAAGCCAAAAAGGAATTGCTGTGCATTATACCTATCGCTCAATCGATGACGGGATATATCTACAGTAGAGGTCGTGTAAGTTGGAAAGTGTTGACAAGCTCAATGACTTTATTCCCTACCTTTAAACTAGAAGTCGGTTCGGATCAGTCCTGCAGTATCATCTTACACATTTGACAGCAGGAGCGAATTGTACACCAAACATTTGCAGATTTCTGCTCATAGTATCCCACGATCTCTGTATTTTGTCAGTGTCTTCATTGAGAGGGACAATATCATCCGCCTACTATAAGTTGGTGAGAATGTTCTCTGGTTTCGCGTGCACTTCGGATTGTGAGGGCGATTGTTACTTCCCGGCTGCCCACACCGTGGAAGTTGGTTGCGTGACCGCAGAGCCCAGGGGACAACTACTTGAGGCCGGTCACACACGGCCTGTTTTTGTTTGTTGTTTTTCATTTGGTGTGTCTCAGTAGCGTATTTATCACTTCTGCCCTGTGACACGGCAGCAGAAAGCGCGGTCGTTGTTAATCCGGGCCCCGACCGATCCGGCATGATATTTTGTGATTTATTTGAAGTCATAGGATTGGATTGGGTAACTGCTTTTAGTCTAACCGCTATCCAAACAACCTTTCTGGTATGGTAGGACCTGCAGGAACATAAGTTCCAGCCAGTATAGCTTGTTGGGTCATTGCGGTGTTCAAGCCCGACCACCACGTCAAGGTAGCAGCTTTCGGTTGGGGTAACAAATCTGGTAACAAGTCAATTGCCAGGACCCATTGGCTCAAATTCAGATACTGTACAGTTATACTACAGTAGATGATGACATAGTAAAACGGTAGGAGACGAAAGATTTGGTAAAGGAATGTCTATTTGGAAATTGATATCTCTATATAGCTAAATTATGTATACCCTTAATCTTCAACGCAGCATTTGGACAGATCTTCGTGTTGTGTTACTTCTGGACTTCATGTTGTATTTCTTTGTGTTCCTTTCACATTTCCCATGTATCTCCACAACTCTGTATCATTTGCCTTCTCTGAATTCAAATGTATCTCCCTGCTATTTGATGTTTTTATACGGATGAACATCTCTTTATATACTACTGATAAATCTTATCAGTAACACATGCCACAGTAGTACTTTTCATTGGATGGCATTCATAATTATTACTTCAAAACTTGCTCCATTGAACATTTCTTAAACTAATCAATAGTTTAATTCAATTTTAGATTTTCTTGTCGATTGATTGGACCGAAGTGCTCGGTCTCAGGTTGACATGTCTATCGGCTTCTTGTGTAGATGCTTCTATGATGTCTGGGCATGTGATTAGAAGTTAATTGATGGATGGTGACTAGCTGTGGTGGAATCCAGGATGCGCATTTCGTCCTATTTGAGACTCGTGGTCAGCTGGATGTACCTACTGGTCACCATCCGCCAATTAACTTTTAATTACATGCCCAGACATCGTCGAAGCATCTACACAAGAAGCCGACAGATATGTCAACCTGAGACCGAGCATTTCGGTCCAATCAATCGACGGGAAAATCTAAAATTCAATTAAATAATTAATATGACCCGTTGCACAAGAGGTGGATAGCTCTCGTGACCAAAGTGGTCTAGTGGATAACGCTTCAGCTGGCGTTTGAAACTATGGGCACTGGGTTCGAGCCTCCGTTATGGGAACATCATCACTCACTGACTGGAGAATGCAGACACACCCAGACGACGAGTCTCAAATAGGACGAAATGCGCGTTATCCTGGATTCCATCACTGCTAGTCACCATCCACCAATTAACTTCTAATCAATAGTTTGATAACTTTTCATTCCTTTGCTTATAATATTTCAGGTGAATTATCTGTAATGATTGCTGAACCGAAATTTCGTGGTCAAGGTTTAGCAGCTGAAGCATTAGCTGGTATCCTCGAATATTCTGGAAGACATTTACCAGTTAATTTAACTTCTCTTGTCGCTAAAGTATCCATAAATAATGAAGGAAGTATAAAATTTTTTAAAGAACGTTTACAGTTTATTGAACGTTCACGAAATAATATATTCAATGAGGTTAGTTTTATCTGTAAAAGAAGTTATAAAAATTGTATTTCACTGTGAATTTCATTGGACAGTTATTCCCTCCAAGTTCTTTTCATCAGTGCGTACCTTCCAGACTCGGTCAGTTTATGAGATAGAATCCAGTGACTCCCTATTAGTGTGTTTATTGAGAATATATCACACAGTGAAACAGTATTATTACATACTGAGTGACGTTTCGAACACAATTTATTATTGTTCATAATCATTTCATCAATTATAATCACACAACTTCGAAACTTGAGTTTTATAGTTGCTTTCTTTGTTCTCTCCTATTTGTCGTCGTTAGGGTAGTAGAATTTTCCATATATCTGAGACAGGTGTTGAATCATTCCTATTACACGTAGTTTCAACTGATTGACTCGATAAATAAAGCTTCCGTTATCACACTCTCCCTTCACCCAGCTGTTACATTAGATTTTAAAACTGTCATCTTATCCTATCATCCTATTGTATGGTTGTGTGTAATTGCATATAGTGAGTGCTTCCTACGGCTGAACTATTCTCTAGATTTCTTATCTTATTCGGGTCAACTAATCTAGATTTTGCTGCTAGGTTTTAATGCTCGCCTAGTCTGACTGCCCCTGTTCTACTACTTTGACCTATGTATTTAACCTGACAATCATTGCAGGCAGGATATTAGACAAAATAAATTGTTTTGTCTAATTGGCTCTACAAAATCTTGATTAGTTGACCCTAGTAAGATAAGAAATCTGGAAAAGAGTTCAGCTACAGCACTCACTACATGCAATTACACACAACCATACAATAGGATGAGGTATGATGACAGTTGTAAAAATCTAATGTAACAGAGTGGAAGCGGCGAGTTGGTCGTCAGTGCGAAGGTGGGGTGACTTGGAGGAGGTCTTGTGAAGAGGAGATGAAGGCGTGTGGGCAGACATGGAGCCAGGTAAAGACTCTAGCAAAGAACCGAACGCAATGGAGACGCATGGCTGAAGCTCTATGTTCCTCTAGGAATTAAAGGAAACAATAATAATAATAATAATAATCAAATATCATAAATGTTTTATAACATTTGTTTTTTAAAATTCATATAAGAATCGAACTTGGGCACTGTGGTGGTAGAGTATAGTATAATTCCATTATGGAGAAAAAATGTTATTTTGATAAAGTCTCTCAGAGTGTTATGCAGTAAGCTTCATAATCAGCATATCACGTAGTCATATAACTTTCCGAATTCGTTTCCAGAATTCTATTATTTTTTGGTTTTGTTTGTAATGATGCATTGCTTTGTATTGGACGCTAGTTAGTAATTGGTATAATGTGTCTAGCTAGTCCTTTGTTTGGTGTAGACTGAATTCTATCAGTCAGTCAGTCAAGTTTGCAATGTGTGGCCTCCATCAAGTTAGGTGGCTGCTCACCATAACGGTGCACTTTAATTTGTTAGTATTAAGTGGTTGCAGGCAATTGGCAGAAAGCCTTGGTTGACCTAGGTTTCGTGACCTAGTTGGTACTCACCAGTGAGTAAAGCGTATCTGCAGTCACCTTGAAGGAACGCAGGTGTCCCTTCTGAGGTAGCTCATTAGTAACGTCTCTAACTGCAAACGGAACTGAGTGACGCGGGTTTGAATCTCAGAAGGGACATTAGTTCCTTCCTTCAAGGTAACTCACCAAACCTCTCCTCTTTATTCGGCCTTACTGTGTCGGCTTAGTGAGGTTTGAGAGTGAGAGTCGTCCGGGGGATTGAACTCCGGACCAAGTGCGTGATTTCATTAATTCTATATATATATATATATATATATATGTGTGAATTTCAATTCCTGGATAAATAAGTGGTTGTATTCCTACTTTTCTGATAGGAAGCAGTACACTGTCTACAATGGAAAGTCCTCCACTACCTCACTTACTTTAGCTGGTGTTCCTCAAGGTGCTGTTCTTTCTCCTTTTCTGTTTTTTTTCTCACATGACTTGCCCCATTCTGATGTAGCCACTTTTGTCAAGTATGCTGATGACATCTCTGTCTCCATGCCTGTCAACTCTCAGTCAGACTGTTCCATATTAAATAACTTTCTCTCGGAAATTAGTCAGTGGTCCTCTTCAAACGGTCTTAAGCTGAATCCGTCTAAATGTCAGGTAGTAAATTTTGCTTTCAGACGAAAAAGTGACCTTCAACAACTAGCTAGCTCACATGGTCCCACTATCATTGACGGCATAGAGGTTGAAACTACATCAGATGTCAAGTACCTTGAACTGAGTATTTCCTCCGATCTTTCCTGGTCCTCTCACATCTTGCCAGTGACTAGAAAGATGTTTCGCTTAACGTTCTACCTTAGGAAGTTTAGGCAGTCTGGTATAAAGCAGTCTTTGCTTTCTCAGTTTGTCAATTCCTGTATTCTACCCATCCCTCTTTACTGCTCCCCATTAATCTTTCCTGGACTACTTAAGAAAGACTTTGCTTCGCTGCGTAGGGCACTAAAAGCTGTTAGTAGGGCAAGTGGGATTTCGTTAAACCAACTGGTTAACACAATTGTGGATAGACATATAATGTCATGTAAGAAACTAGCAAATTCTATATTGTCAGACCCCGAACACCCTCTCTATAAGCAGCTCTCTCCTTGCGTTTCATCTGGTAGAACTAGAAGCACCTATAGGAAGCTATATGCCAGGACTACCAAGTATAAAAACTCCACAATACCTTATCTGGCACAGCTGTTATGTGATGAGAAAACTGTTAGGCATGACATGATCAATTTACTGCGGCACTCTAACAAATAGTTCCCATTAACTTTTGTTCTCCTTTCTTTGTTACTATTATATTGTTGCTCATATATTCTATTACAGACTAATTTTATATATCATATCCTGTGGTGCATTGTTTAAATATGTGAATGCAATGCTGTTCTTTTTTATTTCTTTTATTTCTCTTTTTCTTTTCGTTGTTGTTGCTTTATATTTCTAAATCCTTATAAAATTTATGAGGTAATTAGATGCAATATTGTAATGAACGCTGAAAATTCCATACCTATACCACAAATACTGTTTGGAATAAAGCCATTATTATTATTATTAATTCCTGTTTTATTTTTATAACGTCGCATATTTCAGATTGAATTTATACCAGACATACAGAATTTATCCAGCATAGAGCTTAACTTGTCGGGCTTTAAGAATCAATTGGCGTTGAAAACATCTCAGGCTATAATTAACAGACTTCTGGCTACATCTCCAGAATTGTCGACATCTTCTACATGGTATTATAAAGAAAATGATTTAAAGATTTGGCGTGAAAAACAAAAGAAATAAATGTTGATTATTTCTAAATGTTTCACTTGTTTATTTTGTAAGAAATCAAATTTTATCATGGAAAAATTATTTCAAACTGATTATGAATATAAAATATCTATGAATCGTCTTGATATCTGTTCGTATAACTAGCGTGTGGGTAAAAGAGAATGATGCTTGGGGAGGCTTCGTATACTCTTGGAAGTTTGTGGGCGGTTGTTACTTCCCGACTGTCCACACCGTGGAAGTTGACGATTCATCGGGTACCTGAAACAGAAGGAGAGTTAGTGTTGTGTGACCAAAGAGCCTAGGGGACAACTGCTTGATGCTGACAGGTCACACATGGCCTAACTGATGAATTGGTTTCTTGGATTGGTTCCGGATTAGTAGATTTACCGCTGGTTATGGACCACCGTAGGGTAAGTGAGGATGTACAATTATTGGGGTCGACCTTTTCTAACCTCCTTTCTCCAGAGTGGAGAGACAGCATAGCTGTCTGGCATGTTGGTCATCTGAGGGAAACAGCTTACTTCTGTTTCATCCTTGTTCCCCAGCAGTACGACTTCGCTCACAGACCCCCAGCATAGTGTAAAAACAAAATTCTTACACAAGTGCCGGTAACTGTTTTTAGTCTCCTAACGATAGTTGCAGCCAGTGTAGGCTGTTGGGTCATTGCGATGTGCAAGCCCGACTACCACGTCCAGTTAGCAGCTATCGCTACATGGAGTGTGGCGACTTGAACTGCTGCACATCGGTTCAAAGTTCTATGTTGAAAACAGACAGACGTATAACCACTATAGTTTATTTCTCTCGTTCCTCTGAGTAACTAGTCAGAAATCGGATAGTTTGAGCTGACTCAGCTTTTGGAGCTCAACTGGGCTAATGAACTCGGCGTCAAAACGAGCGAAACGGCTGTTTGGTCTTCAAATCGCTTCAATCTAGCTAGAAAGTACTACTGTTTAATATGAGGGGTGTGCAACTACTCATCTGAATTAATCAGTAGTATATAGCTTATCATATATTTTATCAAACAGCTTACATAGACATATAGTGGTGATCTGAATTATTTGGCTTCCAAAACATCCTGTGGTGAATGTTTCACTCCTCAAACTGTGTAAATTGCGAATTTGGATTTGAAATTACTGGCCCGAAATCGACTGGTTTGACTGACTGACTGACTGATTTCAGCGTAGAACTTTGCACAGATGTGCACCAGTTCAACTTTTCACACTCCATCCTTGTAGCACACAAGGCAAGAGAAGACAGTGAAGAGAGATTCAAAAGAGAGATAATAAACAGAAGTGTGTGGCAAAAAGAAGAGTAATACGAGGTACAACAGAGTTTTATTGGATATTATAAATCACAAAGAATGCATCTGCGCTAGCCATTGGGAACAAGGATTTTGAGCCATATCACCAATTGTCCCTAGCTGTCATTGTTTTTTGTCATCTCTACGAACCCAACCAGACAACCAGTCCATACCTCCCTGTGTAGTTGAATTAAACTCACTGTTGTAGATTTCATTGATTGATGAAGTCATGTTTTTGTTTGACCACCACTAACAGCTCTTTTCCAACCTAATCAACCCCATATCATAGAGAAGATTTGTAGCTCAGGTGGATGATTTGCAATTAAAAGTGTTCTCTGAGCTGGTTGGTTTAGTTGCGAAGCTTTCGTTGTCCTTCTGGACAACATCTTCAGCGCCATATTTAGCACAAAGTGAAATGATTTAAATTTCTTCATGCGTGATGTAATTGCGTCTCCTGGTTACTATCTTTACATATGTATTGACCACTTTCTATTGACTTGGATTTGAAACGTTTTGGTCACCTGATTTACTTTTTATTAATTGGTATATTTCATCTATATTAACGTGTTTGTTAATCGCATTTTCACTTGAGTACCAGGCTTCTAGGAATTCTCTGGCACTTTTCGTGTTTCCTCTGTTTAAGATTTTGACATGATCCCAATCAAATTGATGACCATAATTGTCTGTATGCATTGATATGTATTCTTTAGTATCAATGCATACAGACAATTATGGTCATCAATTTGATTGGGATCATGTCAAAATCTTAAACAGAGGAAACACGAAAAGTGCCAGAGAATTCCCAGAAGCCTGGTACTCAAGTGAAAATGCGATTAACAAACACGTTAATATAGATGAAATATACCAATTAATAAAAAGTAAATCAGGTGACCAAAACGTTTCAAATCCAAGTCAATAGAAAGTGGTCAATACATATGTAAAGATAGTAACCAGGAGACGCAATTACATCACGCATGAAGAAATTTAAATCATTTCACTTTGTGCTAAATATGGCGCTGAAGATGTTGTCCAGAAGGACGACGAAAGCTTCGCAACTAAACCAACCAGCTCAGAGAACACTTTTAATTGCAAACCCCATATCAGTCAGCTAACATTGACCATTGTCGAGGAAGGCGATCGATGGCTAGATATGCACTCGTAACACATGTCCTAACCATCTCACTCAATCGATGCAACTGCTACACAACCTCTTCGATTGATTCCCCCCCCCTTACCTGACACTCGATCGAAGCTTAACCTCAATATTGCTCACCCTATTACACCGATCACCTAACACGGGAGATAGGACGCAGGCACCTATGATCAAAGACAGCTAGCCAACTCTGCTTTTCATGTCTTCCACTTTCAATGGCCATGTCTCACTCACAGTGATGAAGGAGGACAGAGTGATCTGCTGCTCTGAGCAGTAGACACGCCCTTTGGTCGATAGCCAGCCGGATGTCACGTCTGCTAAGCCAGAGATGGCTTTAGCTGACATATGTGTAACAAGTCTTCTGTATCCGTGCTGAGATCCTGACAGGAATCAACCTGCTGGGGCGGGCTGATGCAACTTCCCAAATAAGTGTGACTTCACTGATTGATTTGGTTCGAATCTTTGTGTTGAATTCAGCCGAATACACTCCTGCTGTGTTCAGTCACAATCGAGTGAAACGACCCTCTGGTGTTTAGATCACTTTGATCTTGCTCCTAAGTAAGCCCTACTAATTGTTTGGAGTGGTGTACAACTACTCATCTGAATTAATCAGTAGTATATAATGTTAGGCAAAAATTTTACTTAGCATGTCGAATAAAAATATTGAAATTCTTATTTATAAATTTTAGAAAAGAAACCCATCAAATTGATTGAGGAAATATTTATTGGTTACAGGATTTCATCATAAGTACCACCAGGGAATACTGGACAGCTGTTGCGTCTGCCTACTTTGGGACTCTCTTCACTTGTACGCACCCACTGTCAGGGTTCGAACCCAGGACCTTCCGATTACAAGGTTAGCTTGTAGACCACTCAGCAGCCATTGGGACCCAAAGCGACCCAGTGGTCAGTTCATGAATTCCAACTTCTGCCAATTCACGACATAGCACGACTAGCTCTAGCCAATGTCATGCTTGACGAGTATTTGTCCTCACTCCCGACCTGCTGTACCCTACTGGTCGCGACTTCCCGCTAGAACTGCAGGTAACTACCTACACCTGAATAGGACCAGTGGCCAGTGAGCATCTCATTGATATTCAAGTATTGGTTTGTAGGGATTTGATTGATTGGTTATAGGGCGTGAGGAGAAGTACTCGCCACGCACGACATTGGCTAGTGCTAGTCGTGCTATGTCGTGAATCGGCAGAAGTTGGAATTCATGGACTGACCATTGGGTCGCTTTGGGTCCCAATGGCTGCTGAGTGGTCTACAAGCTAGCCTTGTAATCGGAAGGTCCTGGGTTCGAACCCTGACAGTGGGTGCGTACAAGTGAAGAGAGTCCCAAAGTAGGCAGACGCAACAGCTGTCCAGTATTCCCTGGTGGTTTTCCAATGGTTCTCTAACCGATATCAGCTTATAATGAAATCCTGTAACCAATCAATCAGATCCTAACAAACCAATACTTAAAATATTTATTACTTTTCAATCATCCCCTCACCGAATATGCGATGTCGTGTGTTTTTAATCATTAAGACTAACCAGTTTTGAAGTATAAGAGGGAGTGTAAATGATTATGGAATTGAAGATCAGTTAATGTGTAGGGATTAGCGACTAGCTGTTACTTAATCAACTATTTGTGAAATATGAAATATCCATTTAGACATTTAACACAAATTCATATTTATTTCTGGCTCTACTCTATGTGAAATAATAATGACTAAGCAATATAGGTGAATGTAAGACAGGACTGTCTATTATCACCGATGATATTCCTAATTGTGGTGGACTTGATTATGCTTCACACTGTGGAGAGCAAGGAGACAGGAGTACGCTGGACCACAGGTGAGAAGACTCTAGAAAATCTGGATTTCGCAGATGATATATGTCTAGTGTCACATAAACCCGAAGACACACAGGCAGGCGAAAACCAACGAACTGGATGAAGAGGCAGGCAGCGAAGGCAGGAATCACTCCAGGTAAACATAGAGAAGACGGAGATGATGAAGATAACCAATCGACAGCAAGAACACCATCAACGGGAGAGGTTAAAGAGGTTACCTCCTTCACTTATCCAGCTAGAAAGCGTCGTTTCAACTACAGGCGGAATGCATGAAGATATCAAAGCTGGCCAGATTTAGCAAGACAAGATACGCCTTCATCAACCTGAAACCAGTTTGGAAATCTTCTACACTCTACATCAGCATTAAGAAGAAGATTCGGATTTTCAACACAAATGTGATGTCGGTCCTTCTATACGGGTTAGAAACCAGCGTGTGACAAAAAGGATTTCCAACAGCCTGTTGCAGACTTTCATCAACAGCTGCCTTCGCTCCATACTGAAGATCAAATGCCGGCCAGAAAGAATAAGTGACAAGAAATTATGGGAACAAAAAAAACCAAGACTCGATCGCTCAACAAATATGTAGGAGAAAGTGCGGATGGATCGGACAAACGTTGAGGAGGCCGTCGAATGACATCGCACGACAGGCCGTCGAGTGGAATCTGAATGAGAAGCGATAAGTTGGTCGTCCTAGGGTGATATGGATGAGATTGTGCGAGGAGGAGATGAGAGATTATGGGCAATTGTGTGGCTATCCAGTTGAAGAGGACGGCAGATGATAGGACAAAGTGGAGATGTGTTGTTGA